ACCGACAATAGAAGATGAAGCACTACTTGACCACGGCAAACTACAATGGTTAGCATACACACGACCAGACATCGCATACTCCACAAAAGAACTAGCACGAGACCTCACAGCACCTACAGAACTCTCACAAAAGAGAGTCAAACATCTACTACGCTACTTGAACGGCGCCAAGCGCTACAAATTCACCATAGAACCAACAACAACACTCAGAGCAAACACTAACAACATCCTGGATCTTGACGTTCATGTCGATGCCGACTGGGCAGGATGCCCTACTACCAGGAAGTCAACTTCAGGTTTCAACATCATCTTTTTAGGAACAACAGTTGCATTTGGCAGCAGAACACAAGCTACAATAGCACTCAGCTCAGCAGAGTCTGAACTCTACGCCATGTGCACAGGAGGCAATGAGGGACTACACCTCAGAAACTTCCTACTTGAAACCAACATTTGCAGCAAGCTAAATCTACGCATCCACACAGACTCCACAGCAGGCAAGAGCATTGCTACACGACAAGGCACTAGCAAACGAGCAAAACACATCGACCTTAAATTTCTCTACACACAAGACCTCATCAAGCACGACATCATCAGAATCCTCAAAATCAACACACTACACAACAGCTCAGACTTGTTCACAAAATACATTAGCAAAGAAACACTACAGAGGCTCATACAGAGCATTGGCATACGTTTTTAGCACTACGAACAACAACTGTTTCACAACTGTTGCACATCAATCACAACAGTTTGTAGATGGCCATATGCAACTACCTGCATTTAAGTAACAGTAACAGTAACAGTGACCACAAGTAATAGTACTTGTAACCACCAGTAATTTGCACTTGCACTTTTGGCGGCTTTTGGCGGCTTGAGTCAACACTACATGTTGTTTTGTGTTTTACTACATGCCCGCATGTGCTTTTGTGAGCTAACATTGGCTCACTACTGTCTGCCCCGTTTCACTGCATCTTGATAGGCCAAACTACCAGCAATGGCTGGAACTACGCCCATGGATGCGACTTCGCTGGATGTCATGCCGATGGAGGTTACTACATCAGCGCCAGAGACTACTCTGCCCGTCGAACAACAGGCTGGCAGTACTACACCGGACCGTGTTTTCACACCACCGGATCGGCAGGGCACCACCGACTCCGGCAGCATGGCTACTTTGGCCACTCCATTACCTGAGGCCTACAACTCCCTCAACTACAACTTCAATCACCAACTACCCACACCGGCACCTTTCTACAGACCCGACGACATCTTGGCACACCTCACTACAACTGAGAACAACATCCCCGACACTCCAGCGATCGACCCGGAGCAGAACTACTTCAGGGTCTACGCGGCTTTGACGCTCGAGGAGTTCCAACTACTAAGTCAACAACAAACTACACCCATCCCCGAGCTCAACTACAACCTACCAGTTCACGACCTACCTTCAGACCTACGGATGCCACACTACGACTCACTACCTCTTCACCTACGTCTTTCAGAGGCAGTCAACTTCTACTACTACAACCTTACATCACTACACCTCACAACCCAGTACACCAACTCGATGGTCATTATCCAACTACACATTCCACCAGAAGTTCTACTACGATTTGTCAGCGCTGGACAACTCGTCAACTTCTGCCGCGACTACGTGAGCCACATGATTTCCATCAAAGATGAGCACCACCTACCTACACGCCAGCTACATCAACGAGGTTGGACGGGGGGGGTTTGCCCGGGAGTACAATGCGAAACGGCCGGGGAGGGTTTGCCCGAAGAACAATGTCACCGATCAAGTCATCAACACTGCGTGGTTCCCAAGACGTGTTGTTTGGCCACCAAAACCTCTTTGCACACAGCTGTGAAATTAAAACCAACCTTAAGCAGGCAATGTTTCCCGGTCAGGGCCAGGATTGGCAGTTCACTTCACTTGTCGCACGGCCCTCTGAAAACCAACCAGCACGAACATCTCAACAACAAACTGTCTGGACCAAGGCTTTAACAAACGCAAGAACCGCTTTTTTCCCTCACAGAAGCACATCTCGCTCCAAGTTGGATACAGTTCTGAGCGCGTGCACTTGAACGGGTGTGCTTACCAGTTGGTGGGCTTGGATACAGTTCTGAGCGGGCGCGCTTGAACGGGTGTGCTTACCAGTTGGTGGGCTTGGATACAGTTCTGAGCGGGTGCGCTTGAACGGGTGTGCTTACCAGTTGGTGGGCTTGGATACAGTTCTGAGCGGGTGCACTTGAACGGGTGTGCTTACCAGTTGGTGGGCTTGGATACAGTTCTGAGCGGGTGCACTTGAACGGGTGTGCTTACTAGTTGGTGGGCTTGGATACAGTTCGGGGTGCGCTTACCAGTTGGTGGGCTTGGATACAGTTCTGAGCGGGTGCGCTTCAACGGGTGTGCTTACCAGTTGGTGGGCTTGGATACAGCTCTGAGCGGGTGCACTTCAACGGGTGTGCTTACCAGTTGGTGGGCTTGGATACAGTTCTTGGATACAGTTCTGAGCGGGTGCACTTGAACGGGTGTGCTTGCCAGTTGGTGGGCTTGGATACAGTTCTGAGCGGGTGCACTTCAACGGGTGTGCTTACCAGTTGGTAGCGGGTGCACTTGAAGGCTTTTGCAAAAAGAACGGCCAGGGGGGGTTTGCCCGTGATTTTCAAGTCGCGCGCGCAATGTTTGTAAAAATGATGCCCGACGTGCGACTAATAACATCCTGCTGACATGAAGATGCGAAACAAAAGCGCAGTCATTATCTGCGAAGAAATGCAAATGCCCAGTGATATGTGTAATATTTGCTGCGTTTTACAGCACGTCGCGCACCCATCTGCCGCGGTATGTGCCAAGGCATCGTGCGTCGCAAGGCCGTCAATGCACTGATGACAAGACAACGAACGCAGGTATAATTTCGACCCTGCCGACAGCCAAATGTCCTGGTAAAAACGGGACGGAGTGGAAGTCACATGTCCGACGTGCTGCGTTTTACAGTATGTTGCGCTGCTGAAACCCCGGGCAACCCCCCGCCGTTGAGCCAACAAGCAGCTACATCAACGACTACACCGAATCACCTACAACTTGGACCAGATCACCACTACATTCAACCTGTCCAACAACTTCATTTGGAACTATCACATGCCCCTGTACCTACCAGAACTACTCAACTACTTCGACCAACCACAACAACTTCAAGACCACCACTACAAGTCCATCAACACGATGCTACACAAAAGTGTCACCTACTCAACATCACCCTCCTCACGGCTACAAATCTTTCCATGCAACACAAACTACTACTCCACAACTACCTCACTACCACCGGCCAAGCACTTGCACCACCGGAATGCGACTACAACCGCCTTCGTGGCGGTCCAGACTTCCTCAACACATTCACTACCAACCACTATGCAGGCTTGGACTTCCGCATCAGCCAAGTCCAGAACTACCGAGTCCAACACTGGACTAAGCACACCTGATCTCCAGGTGGAGCTGCAACTACGTGCTGTACTACGTCATCGTACTACGAGATGACTGAGAACCAACTAGGGTTCTTGTACAGCAATTTCACTTTTCTGATCATTTGAAGGTTAGTTGAACTACAGACAGCAGCGCTGTAGGTATCTACCTTCGGTCATCTTGTTTAAGAGACTACATGCCTGTTCGCTACAGTAGCATCGGCAAACAACATGTGCATTCGTTTTTGCCACTACTGTCAATACCACCTTTTGGGTCTATGGTTAAAGGACACTACAAGGTCTTTTAACCAAGGGGCCGTGTCAAATATCATGTTGCACTACTTGTCACTTGTGCATGCATGATGTACACTACCCGACTGCAGGCCTTGAGTCTACTAGGAAAAGAGTGCATGCTGGCTGACTACATTTGTGTTTGTGATAACTGAACAACACTTGCACTAGAAGTAAAGTATCAACGTATTCTAACGAGAGAGAGAGAGAGACAGGACAGACAGGACAGACAGACAGACAGACACAGACAGACCAGAACAGAACAGAGACAGAGACACAGACAGATACGCATACCACAGACGCAGACGCAGACGCAGACACGCAGACACGCAGACGCAGGTAGGCCTGCAGGCCCGCAGGCCGGCCCTCCTGCACGCGAACATTCCTACACACCCAAAGAGACACAACACTGTGTCTCTGGGTGGGGCGCTCCCTGGGTCTCACTTTCGAAGCAAAAGGGATGTGCCCCCCAGGTGGATAACAGGTACGAACCCATCATAGAGTCCACGATCGGCCTGGTGGGTCTCCTCTTTGATACCGGGGGCTGGATCGGGGCCCTGCTGTGCCTTGGTTGGTGTTTTTGTGTTTTTTTTTTTTTTTTTGGGGGGGTGCTTGGAGGCGGTGTTCAAGCTCCTATACAGGGTATTGTTGGGAACCAAGCCTGGGATGTCTGGTTGCCTTTGTGGTCCTGCTGTTAGAATTGTGCCCAAAGGCAGCAGCGCGTGAAGCAAGCATTTGCAGGATTGCTTGAGACTGGCTTGCGCAAAGCGGCTCCGTGTAAAGACTTTTGTGTTTTGCTTTTGGTGCCGTAGTCACATCGAGCATATTTGTAAGCATACATAGTAGTTCATCAGCTTGGGTGCTTTTTGCCCCCGTTTGGGTGAGACAGGTGTGGCATGGCCAAAACCCTTGTACTTGAGGTTCGTAGGATGGTCACAATGGGAAGGCTTCTTAAGAAAAGACGGCGTGGAGCCGATTCGTTTCGACGCAGGATCGAATACCACCTTATCCTCGAGAAAACAGTTGGGGTTGCAGAGTTAGGCTGCTTCTAGGTGTGCAGGTGAAAGCTTCCCAGTCTTTCCCTGGGTCGCTTGGGAAAAGGTTCTCAAAAAAAGTACGTTGTTGGATCCGCCATTTTCCCTTCCCACTCCAGTTAGGAGGGCCTCAGTTGGAGGCTGTTGTATGAACTTTTTCCAAGAAGACAGGCTGATCCATTAAGCTTGAGGATGTACTTCACCTGGTTTGCCCCCTAGGCTGATCCTCTATGCCATGGTGGTGCCTGCCCTGAAGATCGGCTTCCTGATCTTGGCGGAGCTCTGGCGCGAGAGCCCGGACCCGCGGCAGGTGCTCTTCGCCAAGCGCTCCATCCAGGTGACTTGGAGACGGAGCTCCGAGAGACGGCTGGCGTTAGAGAGCCAAGAAAGGGCCAAAACGGATCCCGTTTTGTTTCCTCAATGTGGAAACTGGGGAGCTTCAAAAACAGTTTTCCCCATCGAAGGCTGGGCTTATGCTCACCTGAGTTGCTGACACTGGTGCGCCGTGCCACAAGTAACCCGCCGGCTTGCAGGTGGTACAGATGATCAGCAAGTGGGCCTGCCCCGACATGTTCGCCTACATCCTCCTATTGCGCCAAGGCGAAAAATCGGTGGCCAGCTGTTTGCAACACAGGACTCCCCTTAAAGGTGATGCCCTAGCCCTAGGTGCCCAAAGAACAACTTTCCCAGAGTTGATCGTACACATGAGGGTCGTATCCAGCGTGTTCTAGATGTTGCCATGTTCTGACTGCTCATCATGAGAGCCCCGAAGTCAAGACATAAATGTGGTTCGGGCAAACCTTGCAAGGCTTCGTCCCTTGGGGCGCTTGCTTTGCATGGCTTTGCTAACCAGAAAGCGTGGGATGCTCGGCGCGGAGCTACTCGAAAAGTCAGGGTACCTGTTTTTGTGGACCCACCGATCGTTTTTTAGGGGGGCAGAAAATTAGGTCAGGTGTTTTGGGTACATAAACCACCCAAAAGTTTGCTCAAGCCCAGGTACCTCTTCCGCCATCTCAATGGTGCAGGGGGCATCATCGCTGCCCCAGCCCAGCTTGGGATCGGCACGGGCCTGAGCCAAAATTGGGGGAGGTCGCCGGCAGTTGGGGAAGATATTTTGAACGAGTATTTTAAACATGTATAGACAGACTATGCATGCCGCACTGTACATGTACAGAAAGGTATTCCACCCGCTGCAGGATTTGCAAGGAAACAGTTGGCCATGACTCAGGCAAAATTGCACGCCCAATTCTTAGGATGTTTTGCGCACTTGTGTGGGCATGCGTGTCAGGCATCTCTTTTCCAACCGGGAGATGTTGAGTTGGACAGATGGTGCAGAGAGTTTCAGCTTTGGACAAGACTTGCTGGAACAACCAGCCAAGGGGGCCCCCTTAGGGACACAAAAGGAGCTTGTTTAAATAGCGGACCATCTTTCGGGGGAAAGCTCACTCACGATGAAGGTCCTTTACCATGTAATCCTTTCTGGGGATCGTTCTAATTTTTCAGACGTTCCACCATCGGAGCTGGCAACTGGACCGAGACAAAGTGCCTCTGGCGGAAGGCTTTGCGTGCTTCAGCATCTTCTGCGTCTTCTCGACCTTCTCCACCCTCATGGTAGAGGCCCCTTCAGCTTATGAGCGCTTGATTCTGTGCATCGCCCGTCCATTTCCCATCGGAACACCACCGCCCCAATGAACGCTTGGCGGGCGGTTTGACTCACCGAACCTATCCAAAGCGTGCAACAGCCAACGAGCCTGAATTTTCCTATGTCCTGTTGGGGCAGTCTTTGTAGTTTGAACTACGCGTGCATCGCCGACAGCCAGCTTCACTTTTGGAGTCGTTGGGGCTCAAGCGACGCCAGTCGGGCAGCTCAAGCCTGCGAGTGGAACGGGCGAGTGGGCGGACGAGTGGACGAGTGACTCGAACACTCGCGCGCCCTACTCGCACACTTTCTCTCGCACAGGAATAAGGTTTTAGACCTTGTTTTCCGTCACGAATACTACTTTCAATTGCGGGTTGCGAGTCAACAGTGTGCGAGTAGGGCGAGCGAGTGTTCGAGTGACTCGTCCACTCGTCCGCTTGCTCGCCCGTTCCACTCGCACACGCGCACGCCCTACTTGCACACTCCACGCGCGCACTCGTCAAAAGTCACTCGTACAGTTTTTTTGGGCAAGTGTGCCTACAAAACCTGTTTACAACCTAGCTAATACGTAAGCAAAGCCCAAGGCATTCCCACAATTGTGCGAACTTTGGAATTGAACTCCGAAACAGGAGATAGGAACTGGAACGTGGGTCCGTTTTACCCCCAGCTCGCCAAGAACAATCGGGCTTAGCCTTCCAGTTGGATTTCGCTGAGGCCACGCAGTCGCACGCAATACTCGCACACTCGCACGCAGGGTACTCGTGCAGGAACTATCAGAATTGTATTTAAAAATTATTGGGTCCAGCTAACTTGTAGTTGGGTCTCATGGATTCCGGGATTTCGGCACTTCAGAACAACTTCGTTTAGCCCGCAGCCTGCATACCAGATTTGGGATCGGTCAGCATGTGCGTTGCCATACGCAATTTAAATTGGGGTGCCTCCAGCATGGGTTCGGCTTTCCTTTTGGTCCGGAGCCTTAAAGCAAAATGCAACCACTTTCTCGGCCTTGGGCTTCGGCACATGGCTGGTAGGATCCTGAACACCGCACCAACGCGTTTCGAGGAACTCAGCAAAATCAGCGAGCATTGGCCTGGCAAACGCCAACTGGTATTTTGGGGGGAAACATCGCTACAGGTGGCCGTAATGACCTGCCCTTTCCAGCTAGCGCTTGAGGCGTGTCCAGATGTCGCGTTGGCTCTGCATGCAAGCAGCGCAACCGTTCTGGCAGAAACGCGTGGGGCAAGGCAGAGCGGCGACTGACAAGGCTGTTGGTCGTTTAGCGTGGAATCGGAATGGTTTCTTCGCTCGAACTCAAAAAGGGCCGACCTGTCTCCTTGCTGGTTTTTTGAGGGTCATTCCATTTCTCCTTTCCTGCCTATCGCACCAGCAAGTCCCCCCCCAAGCAGAGCGCGCCGGACCTTGCAACAGGTGCCCCACGCGGCGGAGGAGGTGGAGGGCCCCGTGAAGCCCTGGCTTCTGCGCAGCGAGGCGACGGCAGCTGCCGGGGTCGGCGCCTTCGTGCTGCTCCTTGTAGGAAGTGGATGGTAAAGAGAGTGCAGGAATCCTCCCCCCCCCCCTAGCCCCATAGGATTAATCCGCCCGTCAACTGGTCCACTCGAAAGGAGTCCTTCGATCAGAAGGGTAGTTCTCCCCCATGCAGGCCCCAATTCCTACCTATTAGAATTCTGGGAATGGAAGCCGTCGATCAGAACTCCTTCGATCAGAACTCCTTCAATCAGAAGGTTCTAAGAATCCTTCCTGGGGCGTTGCCTTAGCGGCCTTTGGGCGTAGCTGATTAGGCGGCCTGAGCTGAGAGTCAGGGTGGGTAATGCCGAACGCCTTAGTGATGTGACAAGGTCTTGTAGCTGAGGTTCCTGGGGATCTTTGGTCTGGGGCTTTTCGCCCCCACCATGGCCATGTATCTGGACTCCGCGCTGCTATTGAAGCTGCCTGGCGAGATCCAATGCCTTGGCTGCTCAAAACGGTGGACACGCCAACACTGTTGTGTGTTGGAGGATTCTTTCGGGGTGGTGGTGGTGGTGGTGGTGGTGGTGGTGGTGGTGAAGGGAAATTAATGGGAACCCGTGGCAATCTTGTGAAAAATGCCAAGGCCCTTTAATATGAAATTGGGGTGGGGTGATGACCCCTTGAGTCCCCATTTGGCTGGGGCTCAGAACGGCATCCTAGTTCCTGAAAGAGGGAGGCTCGCAAGCCTTGATGGGATGTGCAAAACGGAATCCAAACGGAAGCCGAAGACCATTGTGTGGATCGCATTTGACAGATTTGCTTTCCACAGGTTGAGAAATGCGGTCGGGAGATAGTGACTAGAAAGCCGGTGTGTTCCCCGTATTTCGCTTTTCAGACTGAAGGTTTGACCTTTTGGGCTTTGAGATGAGTTTTGCTTCTGCTGGTCATTGGGGGAAAAATTGGAAAGCCTTGTCTTGGACCGCTTTGTCATACTTCGCAACTCTCTCCAGGGCAACTCAGCTGCTTGCATGCAGCTTTTTTTTTTTTTACGTGAGGCCAAATGGGCCCTTGGATGAATCGCTGAAGCCCATGCTGGATTCTTTGCACCTCGAGGAGCTTGTCAACGCAGAGGCTGGACAAAGCCCCGTTGAAGGCTTCTAGAACCGAGACTCGATCACTCGGTTTTGGCCTAGATGTCTGAAGCTTCGAAGACTTGAAATCGAAGGTGGGCTAGAGTCACAAGGCCGCTGGGGGGGTGCTTTCCAGACTGCAGGTGACCATCGCCGATGCCACCTGGGCGCTCACTGGCTACATAGCAGGAGGGGAGATGAATGACGTCTTTGCTGCTGGGCTTGGCGTGGTTGCCGTTCGCCGGAAAGATAAAAGACGGCGCTACCCGCTAGAAACGTTCGATCCCAACCCTTCGATCAGAATCCCTTCGAGCTGAGAAGGGGTCGGCATGTCTCCCAGGCTGTGCTGATGCTGTCCATCTTCGTGATTCTGCTGCCCTTGGTGCCTTGGCTAAAGTTTGGGCAAACCGTTTCCGGATTTGTCTAGGGTCCATGATTTCCGCAGGAGAACCTTCGTACTCTCCCCTGGCCCAGGTGAACATGTTTTGCCTGTGCATGGGCTCCTGGAAGCTGTCCAGCGAGGACACGGAAGGAGCCTGGAGGCTTGACTCCGGCAAGACGTCGCTGGATCGTTGGCCGCGGATTTGGTGTATAGTTTCTCAACCCATGTGTTGCGCAGACGGTTCTTGTTTTTTCTTCTTCTTTTTGGGATGGTTTTAGGATCATCCTTCGGGAGGTATCTTTGTGTCTCACGGGTCTTGAAGCACATTGAGATGCTGGACGTGGCCATCATGGGCATCATAGTGGTGACCTGTGCCGGCACCGCGTATCACAAGCAAGGCCGGGGACCTGGCAATTTGCGGGGATATTTAGACAAACCCCACTGACTATACATATCTAAATAAATACATACATACATACATATATATATATACACATATCTGTACAAATACGCTTCTGAGCCTCTATGTTGCCTTTCGGCATTGATACGCCCCAATAATGTTTGCCGTGCGTAGGTCAAATGCGAGGCGCTTCCATGCATGTGCACACGTTGGGACGTGACGGCACACTTTGGGCCAGCGCGCCCTCATTCGTCGCTCACGGTTTGCACCCCGAAGCTATTGAAACAAGAGCGGTGCCTATCGCCCACGGTGACGCACTGCTCCAGCCTTGCATGACGCACATGCGCAACGGTTCGTAGAGGCAAGGGCTTGACACAGGGCCTAGATTAGTGCACCTTTCATTAATTCACAGTTTCTCTATGCCTTGGAGGCTAAGATGTTCTTTCACTTTAGGTAATTGTTGTTTCAACCGGCTCAAGCTTCCAGGGTCTGATCATGGCGATGCCCCAGGCACATGATTGTGGTGTTTTCTTCCGGTTTCCCATCTCCTTACTTTGTCGATTGGCATGCAAGG